ATATATATATATACATATATATATATATATTCGATGCTATGGTAACTGACTGGTATGGCAACATCATAGTACCGAAGAATGCATAATTCAGATAATGTGATGAGGGCGTTATGGAAAGGTCAGACGATGACCAGCCAAACGGTCTGGAGGAATGTGGGGCCGCGGATGACAAAGAACTGCAAACTGATCCTCAGACCGCGGAAAAGACTGGCGGTTCGAATTATAACTGGCACTTAGTGGTCATAGAATCTTGTTTCAATCAGCCTGACGGATAATACTCTGCGAAATAATCACTGGAAAATTAGATAAATGAATGAAGGAACAACTAGTTGCACCGTATACCAAGGCTTGGGTCGGTGCTTGCGAACCTCATCTACGAGAGACAACTCTAACCAGGCCAAGTGAGTGGTCCGTTCTGGGAAGAATTGATAACCACACAAAAGTGGAATCTGATAGACAGCTTAATCACTGCATTTTGGTCACTCATCTCAATGCACAGAGTGGATTTGGAGGAAATGGAGCAGGATGACTGCTTGACCAACTAGTAGTTCATTTGTTATGTAGGTAAGGAATCATAGGACAGGACGTGTCCAAATGTCAAGTGGGATCTCTTATGGAAATAAGGTTGGTCAGATTTCCTCATTGTTCCGCTCTTTAAATGGCAGTAATCAAACTTAGGGGAGTGGTGGGGTGGAACAGACGACAACACGAGAGATCTACTACCCAAAAGGAGCAAATACAGATGTTTCGGGACATACCGACAGTCTGTAAAGTGTATGCGTATCGCTGACGCTCCCTGTTGGGTCTTAAGATTTAGCTCATCGGGAGATCTCCCAAAACGGATTTAGTATGACCTAGAATACGGCCTGGTTGGGAATACATGCAAGCGTTTTGTTTGAATAATACTAGTTGTCACACTACTCTAGAAGCTGGAAACCAGCAAAAACAGTGACAAAAAAACAGACGGCTATTGTCCAGTGAATGAATGAAGAAACAAGACCCCCTACATCACTTTAGCCGCACAGTCAATATGTGGCTTTTCTGTCTTATGATGACATCCATCACTCCCAATTGTCATCGTGACAAAAAGACGGCTATTGTCCAGTGAATGAATGAAGAAACAAGACCCCCTACATCACTTTAGCCGCACAGTCAATATGTGGCTTTTCTGTCTTATGATGACATCCATCACTCCCAATTGTCATCGATTTGTGTGGCCAGCTGTAGCCGATAATTGCCATGCAGCGCATCGATTGGACAAATGGTTCAAGAGCATCACAACACGAGATGACCACAAACCAGACAATAAAAGGATGCATACCAATCCCTTTCCAGCAGTTTGAAAAACATCCCGTAAACAAGAATGGAGCAACTGACGGATAGAGAGTGCCAGAGAAACAACTGTGCCGAATGCAATCGAGTAAGCTGACAAAAGAACACAATCCCTAAACACATGATCCATGAAGGACAGAAACCGGTTGGATAAAGTAGCAAGAATATGGATGGATATCACAAATAGGGGGTTAGAGGGCGATAACGTGTTTTCGATAGCATGACTTTCCTCAGAGTAGGCATACTGCCCAGAAAGCCTAGCTTCGCAAGATACGACGCGGAATAAAACGCCTGCATATTCTAGACGTGTTGCTACACATCATAGTGAACCGGAGAATTGACCGAAAAATCTAGCTGACAAGCAGAGGAATTGTGGAATTACACAGCTTGCTCTTTGGGTACAGTATATGGTTGAAAGATAAAAATAAGATCTCCAGAGAGGACATTAAAACATCGGTGATCCATACGCTCCTAAATGAAAATATTTTAATAGGAATTTCATCGTGCGAACGAAGCCTATTTATGTTGAAAAGCCGAGGAGCGCTGCACAGCCGTTTCATCGCTGTTGAGATTTAACTCTTCCGATCAGTGGTTGAGCATTTGGACCCGACCACGAGCCAAGANAAGCAGAGGAATTGTGGAATTACACAGCTTGCTCTTTGGGTACAGTATATGGTTGAAAGATAAAAATAAGATCTCCAGAGAGGACATTAAAACATCGGTGATCCATACGCTCCTAAATGAAAATATTTTAATAGGAATTTCATCGTGCGAACGAAGCCTATTTATGTTGAAAAGCCGAGGAGCGCTGCACAGCCGTTTCATCGCTGTTGAGATTTACCCCTTCCGATCAGTGGTTGAGCATTTGGACCCGACCACGAGCCAAGATCACGCGATTTATATAGTGTGGCCATGCACGGAATAACTCTCCGACCACTTCTCAGACAGAAGGCTCATGCAACTTGTCAAATTTTTCTCCGTTTCTGACTGGGTCGCTTATCACTAGTATGAGGAGCGGAACGAGGCGTTGCAGATGAATGTAAGTGGAAATAAGGAGCTGATACGATGACTAGGTATATTGCTATGAATCTGAAGAATGGATTTTTGGTGACCAAAAATATAGAGTAAAAAACTAAGCCCTAAGAATAGCAGATCCAGCCGTGTTTTACCAAGAGCTGTATTTAAAAAAACCCGAAAGTACCTTTGCGCTGAAACGGAAACATGCGTAGATTCGGTGCCATTAATCGGAGCTATTCTCGCTAGGCCGCAATCACGAATGTTTGTAAGATCGGGGTCCAATGTGCTGATGGCTATTACTGAGAGGATATCGAACAGTATGAGGTGGAGTCAACGTGAAACCATATATCCACGATGAAAACGACTGGCTTCTACTGGTCCTGCAAACAAGTTTTGTCCAGCGATTTTCATAGGCCAACCAGTGTTGTTCCCGCTTCTCTTTTAAAGCTGAATGCATGGTTGGGTGAAGAATAGCCTTTACAACTTGCACACCAGGTGCGCGAAACATGTAACAACATAAACAAGTAGTAAACCGATCAGGCGTCACTGGGTCAGTCGGCGCGCGCGACCGCGCGCACAGCCACAGTGAATTACACCGTGGTCGCCGTACTGGCAACTAGGTAGGTAGGCATAGTCATCAACATTCTTCGTCTGACAAAACCACACCGAACTGTCAGCATGTGGTTAACAGAAGACTAGGTGATGGGTCGTGTATGCACCTGGGGGGTGGGAGCCAGGACACATCAGCATGCAATTCCCAATGGCGTTTTCCCGAATGTTCGTGTACTACGAATTTATTCACACAAACAACAGCGGTTTTATTGTGACTGACTTCATTCACTTGGCACGGGCAAAAAAACGAACAGCGCCTGTCCGAGGAAGAGCAACATTTGTGTCAGGAACACAGAAAAAAGAGTAGTGCATTTCCTCCAAAAAGTCATATGTTACTGTCAAACTGTCAATGACAGTAGTAGACAGAGCGGAAAATAATTTAAAAACAATGTATGAACGAAGGGGCTAGATCGATTTGTCTTGAAAAGAAGGTAACATCCTAGCGTCACGGTTGACGTCCTGGCAGACGTGGACGACACAGTGGACAAATTTTTCCAGTTCGAGTATGAAGGATTTGATAAATGATGCACTCAGCGACTGAATCATATCGAGGATTATATATCTTCGAGTAAACCCAATAAACAAATACTCCAAACATCCACCGCCAGTACAATAAAACCTCCAATAGTCACTATCCTTCAGTGGTGGACGCCCTTGATTAGTTCGTCCGGAAGAAAGATGAGAGCCCGGGACGTGTAAGAGTAGATTGATTTCAAAGCTACAGAAAATACCATATAATAGATTCCTTGGATATTGGAATTTCCCGAAAAATCGATATTTCGTTCCAAGAAGTGTTCACCACTTGTTAGGCGCGTAGTTCATACGAGAACAAAGTGAACATGGTGTTAAGAAGGATGTATCCTCGAAAATTGAACACATAGCTTAAGGACTGTTTATTTGTCACGAAAAAACTGGGATTCACTCGATCTCCCGGAATAGAGACGCCTCCAGATAAGGAACTCAATTTGACCAGTTCCAATTAACGGGTCGGTAGATCACCGTACTAGTATAGAGCAAATACAGAAACTGTTTACAAGTAACATGTACCCAATGCTACCAAAAAAACTCACAGCCAACTTCTTCACTTCAAACGAATGCAGAGTAGCCGAACAAACGACCATTTGCAATCGCCCTCCATCAGGAGTGACTTTGGGTATCTGACTATGAAGGCGAGTGATCATATCTCCATAACCTGCGGACAGCAATCCGTCACACTCGTCCAAGATGAAAAATCGGCAATTGGAGAGGGATAGAGTTCCAGTGGATAGCAGATCATCCAAACGGCCGGGGGTTGCGACGACAATATCAACCTGAGGGTAGAGTATATAGATGATATAAATCTGAACTTAAAGGATTCCATCGACCTCAATATTCTAAACAGGATGAATGCCCAATTTCATCTTAAATAAGTAGGCTGTACGTAGGTTTATCATAAGCACCACAAGGCATTGAGACAGACCATTTGCTCAGCCATAAACCCACCGATTGTTTGGGAAATCCTTCTGCAACGAAGAGGAGTCACTTTTATGTGGTCACGCGACGACGTTGTTAGCACGCCCAGTCTACCGGGCCAGATAAGATTAGATGATTGTGTTGTGGCTATCGGAACAGGACAGAAAACATACCGTGCTGTTCCGAATTGCCATTGGTTTGGCCCCCGCTACCGAATAGCTTGCTCTAAAAGGATGAATTTTCGTTGCAGATTTCGCCAGTGTGGTGTTGCTTCGACAGGATAACGACGCTGGATCACGGTGCCAAGTAGTGTTGTCCGTCAGAAGAAAACAAACGCCTGATGCATCAGGGGAATATTAACCGGTTGGATGTGTCATGGCGCTCGAGAATTAAATACCTGACCCACAAGTCACTCACGTGCTCAGAGTAGGAAGTAAACTCGATGGAACTTCATGGCTAGTTCTAACTGGGGACGCTGAAGAAGAGTAAACTAAGCAGTGGGTTGTGGGAATTTTGAGTAACCTTAGTGCCACATCAAGAAATCGTTACCTGTTGAGAAAAAGTGATCCAACTCAGATCAAAGCTGGGGTGAATCGTCTTTGGGGAGTTGTAAACAACTGGTTTATCCATGTTTATGAGTTGTAACTCGAATAGGGGTTTACACTCCACGGACAGACCTTTTCGTTTCAATAAAATTGCATCAGAAAGCGGAAGTTTCATGTGTCAGAATATGATACCTCGGGTTATCAGAATAAGCAAGATAATCCCATTTTCATCTTGAAAGTAAAGTCATATACGACAAACATGTACCGAGCGCTCTGAGGATAAGTGGATTCCACATGCATCCCACTGCCCACCGGTCTTGCTAAAAAACGGACCTTTATAGGGGCTTCCCCACCCAGCCCAGTGGAAGAAACTGAAGAACCAAAAACCAGTCAGTATGAGTGGCTTTACTTCGAAAAGAGTACGATCTTATGGACAGAATGGCTGCCTTTATTTTGTTCTCGAGTGGATCATGCGTAGTTCATTCGCAGGAGCAGTTAACTTATTAAGTGAACACGTTTCTGCCTAGACATTTGATCAGCTGATCGAATAAGTCGCTGAGAAAAGGCGTGATTCCTTCCGTTAGATAAGCTGGATGCTAAGTAAGGTGCGTGTTCTAAGGCTGACTCAACCAATTAGGCCGACTATTGAGTATATAGCTCCAATTTTCCGGTCAACAGTTTATAGTTGGCTTTGTCCAACCAATGGCATGCAATTCACTAGGAAACCACTACCTGTTTTTCCGTTCCCATGTAACGCACTTTATATGTCGCGGCGCCTATTACGGTGTTGCTTCGAAAGGATACGTACCCTCAAACCGAAATTGCGTTCTGGAGGGTCCCACAATTTGACCAGCTTTTTGTGATATATTCCCTGCATTCGAAGTAAATCCTAACAGATATGAGTGGCAAAAACAAGCTGACGTCCTTATGAACAGTTGCTGCGCTCATTGTTAAAATAGTTGCCTCTGACCCTTATTGGACAAGAAAAAATGACCAGTTAGTTGTTTGTTAAACGAACAGCCGATCACTTCTGTGAGATGGTCTGGTCCTGCACTAATTTCTACTTAAGTTGGCCTGCCATCGAGCACGTAGGATTGTCAGAGGCTATTCTGAAACTGATATTTTATGGAGCGGGACGCAAGCCTGTGACAGATATCTTCTTCCGGTAGGGCTGCAAATCAGCCTTGATGAAGAAATAAATCACAAAACTGCTTGGAAGGTGTTCCAAGGCTGTTTGCGTCCAATACGATTCCGATAAAGTTTCTGGTCATAAAACGTGAGTGAAAGTGTGCTGTTTCATCACGCAATGCAGCGCTTTGATGCAATTGTGCTTATGTATAGAGGTTCTGCAATGTTCTTTCGACGGGCTGAATGATTTCTGTCGGCAAGAAGTAAAGTGCACTATTCTAACGAGCTAATAGCTTTGTCGTCATTGGCGTGGTCCAAATTGACGATTTGCACACCGATACCCACTATTGCCACCAGAAACGTAGTTCCTCACAGTTGAACTGTTTCCTTCTTGGCGTCAGCTCTTTTTCGAAGTCATCTATCCCTTGCAATGCACATAAATTTGGAACCAAGCCGTTTAGCTCTATTATTTGATGGGATCTCTTGGATGGCTGCAGCACTGCGTCCCAAGAAGCGATGCGCAATCTAATAAAAACCACTTCAAATTTATACAAGGCCCCTTGCCCTTTCATGAGATCACGCGAAAGTTTACTGTGCCAAAAACTGAATGGAACCCGCCGGTGACCAAAAGTCAACCAGCCTTGTAGGCGTACATTCCGTATATGAGCACATTCTGGCAGAAAGTTGACGAAGTTCATGCTACTAGTGAGTAGTAATGAATAACCATGCGTTGTGGAGGGCAACCGAGCAAGTGTACCGGATAATGCATGCAAGTACAAATAAAAAACACGACAGTCAAGTAAAGCGGTGCTTACCCCACTGTGTAATGCGTCCAGTTGCCGCTTCGTATCTCCACCTCCGATGATCAGAAGCTCTCGTGGACAAGGATCCTTCAAGTAACGTTTGAACTTTCGAATTTGCTCGCATGTTTGTTCCGCCAGCTCACGAGACGGCTTAGTTGAAATAAAGCGGGGGGGAATAGTATCAGATGTTTTTACATTACAACGATTAAAATGAGGACCAACAGCTGAGAATAATCATCGAATAAACATGTAAAGGGGACTGGGATACAAGTTCTTCCCAACACGAAGCATTCGACTAATACACTCATCTGATTACCGTTTTAGTTTTGACGGGAGACTCACCTGAAACCCAGCTGAATCTCTCATTTATGATGATCTTTAAATGAATATGCTGCATCAGCCGTCTTATATTTCAGCTTGTACGCTATTCGAGATATCGTGGCACAATGCGCAAACACAATACACTGCTCATAAGGTTGCTGAAAACCCTCCGTCCTTCTTGAAGGTCATCAGGAAGGTGCAGCCCCCGGGGTCATGTCAGCCTTGTGTGCTACTTGAATGAAGAATGAATTTGTGGTTACTAGATCAAACTTCCTCATCCGGTGGATTGGAGAACTATTATACTGACCACATGTCTGGGATTCAGATCCCTTTCTCTAGAGCTACACAGTACAGCGAGCGACTGCTTATTTGATTCATTAAATCGCCTGCATTCAACAACAACGGCGAACACTCCCTGGATCATCTAAGGGGCTATCTACCGCAGGCCTCGAATCTGTTTTCATGGCCATTGCGCCCTCGTCGAACAGTGGTTCCATACGGTTCGCATAGAGGTTCCACATGCGATGGATCTTGTGCGTCTCCTCCCAATTAGCTCCGACATCTGATAGTATTCGTCGGAATTAGACCGATTACGGATGAAACTTCCATGGCACGAAGTTGGGAATTTTAGAAGCAATGGATGCGCGCCAATGCCGTTGGATATTCGGTCCACCAAGCGCCACAAAGGTAGATGGAAACGTATTGTCTTATCCATAAGTTGATTGATGCTGGGGATGATGAACGGATGAGGTTCTGGCAACAGAGATCAGATGTACTTCGGATGACGAACGATTGACCAGATGACCACTGATCAGACGACATGCTCCTCTGAAGCCAACCAAGATACTTCCGCTTCGCGAGAGAACGTTGAATTCGTGTGCTGATCACGCTCAGTCAACAGAGGAGCCAAGTCCAAGAACTCACTCCTAATGATGTCCCTAAAGAGCGACACAAAACTTTGGTTCAGTTAGTCCACTACTCTCCCTACAGGTAACCGTGACCAAACGCATTTGTCACGCGAAGGATCGTCTCGGATGACGGTTTCGTTCGCGAGGTAGCCATTCGGTCGGTGAATGGAAAATTCACGAGTGCCATGAGACAACTCTGTCTACTAGAGGAAGACGCAATGGATCCGAATGATTACTGAAACCTATCATATAACTTGAGTGTTTTAAATGTTCAGTATTCCAACGAGATTTTTTCGTTTTTGGTACACATTTTAATTTCGGTCTCCGCATCGCCTCCATGACGCGGTGGTTTGTTTGCTCCCCTCGCGGTGCATATTTGCCTGCTTTCTGCTGTGAAGTCTGGGATATCCTCATTGAATTTTATACGAAGGAGAGGCATTTTAAATTTGTTTTCCGTCTACTTTCACAAAAATGACTAATTTAATGTTCTCTGAATTTTCGAAAACCCTCTGCAAACCATTTACAATTGTTGATATCCGTACACTTTCCATGCTAAGAACTGTAAACAATTATCTAACTTGCGTGACTAGCAATGAAATAACATCTATTTGCGCTGTGGTTGCGATGGAAAATCAAGCGGATAGGTCTTGAAGATGTTATCAGCATCAACATGCACACATGGTAACTAACTTTCTAGGTAAAACCGTCCAGCTATAGAACCTTTTCGGTGCCTAACTGCCATACCATCCGAAGGTTGCACGAGGGCTGAGATGCTGCCAGGTTGCCCAAGCCTAGACAGTGGAAGTCGAGAGGCAGAGGTCGGGTTCGAACCACGGACCTTTCGGTCAGTAAATTCGCGCTCTAACAACTTGGGCCATCTCGCCTTTCTAGATACTGGAGATAAATGCCTTCCCATACAGCCGCGTGCTATTTGATAGAAAAGGATGATTAAACTCACCTCCATTATCAAAGCAAGTGGTGCATTAGGCTTTGGCACAAAGCGATTTGCGACGCTGGAGCCTGGAGAAGAGAAAAAGATAATAAGTAAAGAAACGGAGAAAAACAACACAGCGAAAAGAATCAAGATGAATTCAACGCAAACGAGCTATGAAACAAGACAAAGAGGTTGCTCGAGTAGATTCAAACGCTGGTTGGAGTGAAGCACGTGATGAATCCAAACGAGGGATTACAAAGAAAAGCGATCTAAGCTGAGGTAAAGAAAGCTATAGTTAAATATACTCACTTGAGAAAGTTGATTCAATAACATTCGATCCCTCAGCAGCACTCACAGCTAACCAGCCTGCTGGTGGGGGGTGCGTGAAGGCAGTCGCACCAAAGTTAAAACGAATCTCGGCGTTTTTCAAGCACACTGATGGAAATAAACCAGCTGAGCGCAAGGGAGCAGGGACATCGTACGCTTTGCCAAACAGTTTTCCTGAAACGAAAATAAGTAGGATGTGCCCAGGAAACAGTTTACGGTGAAGCCCGTTTGCTTAAGTAGGTTCCAGAATAGCAATCAGTAACATTACTCGGTGAACTCAAGCTACTTTCGAGAATCAGGCAAGAACACAACTCAGCGAATGAAGGAATGACAATCAGCCTTCAAAACGGAAGCGAACACACTTTCATACTAGTTATCTGAGCTCACTACCAAAACGTTCGCAGCAAAAATGGTATTTCCGATACATAAGAAATGGGATCTGATACAAATAAAACAGTTGTCTTTTCTGAAGTGGCATAACCGTTGGTTTATCGACAAGTTGGATACCAACGCATCATGGCAAAGCAGGATAGCATCACCGATGCAGAATTTTGTACACAACAGCACGACGCGTCCGTTATGTCACAGACCGCGACACAACGACCCACCCAGGTTAGCGATGAAATCTTCGCAGCAAAATTGATACGTTATCCAATATGCGACTGATTTATCAACATCCATCTTCAACAGCAAGGAAAGCGGCGTGCACAAAAAATGTCCTCCCAAGGAGCCTTCCACAGGCAAATGGGGGTGTTCAACATCAGGAGTCAGAAGCAAGCATATTTCGATTTTTGAACACGATAAAAATACCGAACAAGATAGAAACAAAATGAAGTGAAGCACATTTTCCGTCTACAGAAAAAATGTTCTAAGCTAACCATGCAGTAAGTACATAAGAGTACGACCAGACGTTAGGCAGTAAACAAACCACCTTTCAGGTTATGGTAAGCACAAGACGAGTGGGGGACCAAACTTACCATTTTTTGACCAACTGATGGTTCCATTGTTCAGATCCAAAAAACAACCGACGCAATCACCTTTCCCAAATGATTCTCCGTATGAGTCGAATTGACGACGATGAGACATTTTTCCTGTCCCACCGAAACCGAAGCTCTCAGCATCTGTTCCCACATCATGCGATGCTCTAAGAGTTGACCAACCGACGCGACATAAACCATCATCCGTCACGACGGCTTCGTAATAATACTTGCCTACCAGTTCAAAACGGAATACAAAGAGTGGTAGTGCTGATTTGTAATTTTGCAGAAATACTTGAAGTATTCCAGTACAAGGCTACATGGGATGAACTAAAGGTTATTTCCACGGTTTTGCTGTCCCAAAGTGGTAGGATGTTCCAATAACGAGACAACCTTGAGACGATGAATTCTTGCGACTAGAAAGAGTCGGCTGTGACGAAACGTCTTACTGTTCCATCAAATTTACTAGCACAACGGAGAGTCCGTATACTATGGCAATCTATAAGTTTTTGAGATAGAAATATGAACCCTACTTCATGAGACACAAGTGCTGGGAAGCCATTTTGTCTCCCTCTACCCTGTCCGCTGAGTGAACCCGGGAAGCACACACTACCATCGTTTGTGCAGACCCACAAATGTTCCGTTTTGAAAGTTGTTATAGGCTGGTTGGGAAACGGACACTTCGGCAATGAAAAAAAGTTGGTGCGGCCTACAGCAATCGAATAACGGACCCTCATGACATAACGAAAGTGTGAAAATTAGGATGTATTCAGCAAATCACGACCACAAAAAAACGTTAGACTCCTTCCGATGTAGCTGAAGAAAAGCAAATAAACTCAATATAGAGGACAGGTGCAGGCACCCACCGGAGTTCTTCACACCACGATTTGCCCGCGCTCCATGCCATCCACCAGGATCACGGCTTTGGCAGAGAAGACCATCTGCGTCTATGGCCATTGCCTCAGTTCTGTCGTTCGGATTCAGCTTGAATGGTTGCTTTACACCTCCTGCATGGCCACCGGTCTAAAAGCGAGGAGTGAAATCGGTCGCAACAAAGAAAACGTACGTGTTTTCCAGATTGCAAATTCTTCAGGGTTTCGTAGACAATCTGAATAACTGGAAGACAAAAGGCGCCGGTCTTTCCACTTCCTGTTTCGGCAGCCATCAAAACGTCACCACCACCCAGGATAAGTGGAACTGCTTCACCTTGAATATCTGTTGGTAGGATCCAGTCCATTTCTTGTACGGCTTTGGACAGTTCGGGCATGACACCCATTTCTTTGGAATGACATGGGAGGAATCAGAAAATTGATCTCCACTACTAATAAGGATAAGTTCTATCGCAAACGAACGAGGGCTGACAGTATGAAGATGGTTATAGGGTTAGACGAACCTAAACTGCGGATCGAAAGACCAACAAATTTCGAACTGAGAGGCTCATAGAAAGTCTCGCTTGTTGACTCGACTCAAAAGACTGAATTCGGTATACCGCAACCCACCACATACCTAAACATACAACTATTTCTTCAACTATGTAGTACTAACTACTAATAGTGAATAAGCCACCTCCGAATGATTGAGACAGAAGTATGGAGTTGCGTGTATACGGACATTACAAGAACACTGCTGACCAAGGGGTCAGACCAGTCGCATCGATTAGCCGATTGCCCAGTGACGCCGGACATTACAATAAGTGCTATAGTTGCGCAGGAAAAAGAAGGGGGTAAGATCGAAATTCCCACACGTACCGGTTTCGAAAGCTGTGGCCATGATGACACGTATTTCGTAAAGGGTTGGAGCGTCAAATTACCCAAACTGCTGAAATATGGAGAAAATGTAGTGGTTGATATGGTATCTAGATTGGAGTTAAAGAGATATGTTAGTATATTTGTTTCAATATGTTTTGTGGTTCAGTTTCATCTGTTTCGGCTGAACAGTACCGATGACCAAGGAGTAGCGAAATTAACTCACCGAAACGCTCTTTCGTCACAAAAAAGGTTGGTAGCTACCTCTAAGTACAGGAGGGAATCCTTTTCATAAACCCGACGTGCCGCAACATCAGCTTACACGGAAACGAAAGCGGTTTGAGACAATTGTACCACTAGTTCACATTTAATTTTGTAGCAGTATAACTCAGTTTTGGTTCGATCACAACACAGGCGACGACGAATACTTACGCGTCGATAGGTAGGAGCCACAAGCTTAGTTATAGTGTAGTCGTATAGCAATGAGGCATTGGTGCATCATCGTTGGTTTTTCGCCAATGATGATAATTATGACAGAGCAGTGAAGACCAGCTATCGGAAATAATTCGGCATCCTTTGAAGCACCGAAGCAACCTCTAGGACATACTACACAAGATTGTCAATGGTTGTTGATCAGACAACGTCCCATGCTACCTCACATAATGCTATGGAATTTTTGGGCTTATTTTCGTCAGATTTTATGGTGCTAAATGCGAAGTTACACAGGATGGCGAATGTCAAAGCTGCGTCTTTTAAATGGTGATTTAAGAACACCGGAAGACGTGAGAAAAACGGAAAACGGGAGTTTAGCGGTTTTACTGTAATAATAATAACAATATTAATAATAACACAAACAATGATAATAATGGTTCAGCTGCAACACTCTTTTGGTGCCCAGCTGTCATGTCAGCCGAAGGAAAAACGAGGACTGAGATACTGCCAGGTTGTCCAATTTAGATAGGAGCAGTCGAGATGCCGGGGTTGGTTTTGAACCATGGACCTTCCGGTTAGTAAGATCGCGCCTAAAATACTCAGTCGTCTTGAGCTTAAATGGATGGATGCTGGATAAGGTTGGCGAGATGAACCGGTGTGTTGGATGAAAAAAGTACTATATATATATATGTTTCGATGCCTAGCAGCCGACCCGTGTGACGGAAGCACGAGGGCCACCTTGTCCAAGCCTAAACAGGAGCAGATGAGACGCCACAACACGAACTCTCCGATCAGTAAGTTTGCACCTTAACTGAGCCGCCTCGACCTGTCCTGTTAAGAGATAAACAGTTCGATCCGACAACAAGACAGTTACTCATAGGCAATGGCTGCTTCTCCAAAGAGCGGAGCGATGGAAACGATACGAAATGAGGACGAGCGTTGAAGAACACCGAACCTGCGTCGCCCATGACACAGGTGGGTTTCTTTTATATTCAATCACTTTGTTTTTCCAGCTCACAAACCACACACTGAAATGTACTGGTTCTATCTACAACAAATTCATTCACTGAGGATAAGGAGAACAAGAGAGTGAGAAACAGGCCATGGGGGCGGTGGTCTAGTCGGTTCACTGACATCAAACGGTTGCTCAGTGGTGACTCAACGATATCTTTTGGGACCATCAACCACTCGTTTGCCTCGTCGCGTGAACGCAACTCAAGGAGACGGCAGTAACTAACGCGAGTCAGTTTACTTGTGAGGGCATGCTTCGTTGCTAAGTGGAGGCCTGACCACTGTCATTTTCATCCAATACAAGAGAAAGCTCTATGAGGTAAATGGCTTTCGCACAAACGAAGTACACGGCCTAACCAGTGTGCCCTGTTGGGTGCGCCAGGCCGAATTCTACACCGACACCACGTTACTGGCCGCAGTTAGGCGCTGCTACGGCCAAGTGGCCTATTATACACAATATTGGCCACAATCCGGGCGCTTGCCGGTCAGGCTCTGATTGGTCAAAAGTCAGGAGACAACAGCCAATCATGACCCCATATTCGCCGATTACCTGTTGGAAAGGTCACGCCCAGAGGGCGTCGGAATATTCACGGATTCACGGATTGATACACAGGATCGAGGCTTTCGCCCAAGTTTCCCGGGTCGGTTTTGTTCTCGTCGGTCAGTGGCTGTCGTTCGCCTGAAAGGCACAAGCGAAAAAGGGTGTAGCACTGCTCTTTATGTTCTCAGCGCGGGACAGTATGCTTGCCAGCGCGAGGATTCGCATAAATAAATGTCTAATAGTGCTTTAAACTGAGTTCTAGAAGGAGCGTGGACAACCTTCGGAGGAAGGTCACTCCACGCGGCTACTACCCGAAATGAGAAATAATTTTGTCTAATGAATGTATGTGCGCTGAGCTTGAAAATTTTCTTACTATGTCCCCGCCGTGTGTTTGCTGGGTCAACGGTAAAAACCTATTTGCCAAGCTTTGTTCAAACAGGGCAGAAGTAAGAATTAGGTCCCCTCGGAGGCGACGGTACTCCAGGGGAAAGAGATCAGGCATCGCGAGAAGGGTTTCGTAGTTCATGGATTTGAGGCTGGCAATCATTCTCGTAGAGGCCCGCTGGACACGGTCAATGAGGGTGACGTCTTTCGTGCGTCCTGAGTGGACAACTTGGTTGGCGTATTCCAGGGGCGGTCTGACGTAGGCCCCATAGAGTATTTGGAAGTCCATGCGAGTAATACGGGAGAAGGTACGTCGGATCATTCGTAAAATGCCGAATGCCCTTTGGGCCGATTTCTCATGGTGCAGTGAGAGGGACAAATTTGAGCAGACCCAGATGCCCAAATCCTTTTTGGGATCTATCCTCATGATGTCTCCTGGTCTTTTCTTACCACGCATGACAAAAGCATCGCTGAATCTCCTCCAAATGACATATGGACGCACTTTTCGTCATTCAGAGGAAGGTCCCGTCCAATGACCACTGCTTTGCAGCGTCTACATCCATTTGGAGGGCACTGGCATTGGAACTCCAGGATTTCAAGTCGTCCGAAAAAAGTAAACATGTATTTGCAAGAAAACCAGGAAGGTCGCTGGCGTAGATCAGAAACAGCGGTGGTCCCAGAACTGAGTTTTGAGGAACCCGAGTGGAGACCGGCGCTGGAGAAGCAAGGCGCTGGAAGCAAGGTGACCTAGAATAGCTCGCTTTAGAATGTGTTCCATCACCTTGAACGGCACGCTAGGGAGGCTTATAGGTCTGTAGCTGCCGGGCGGTAGTCAGTCACCAAATTTGTAGATTGGCGTGACAATCGCTTCCTTGCAAGCAGGGGGAAGCCGGCCTTCATGAAGCGACTGACAGAGGGTTGTCGCAGCATATTCTTTGTACACAACGCGCTGTAGATATGTTCATGGCCTGGTCTCGGGCGTTAACATGCATTGTTCATCTTTATTACTAATAATAACGATGATAATAATGTTTATTTCCCAACTTATGGGTGGCGTACCTTCAGGCATGATCATGCGTTTACAATGAGAATGGGGCATGTGACTATGGGATTTGCGGCTACAGGGGATTCCGCGAAATGGGACAACGTTATGAACAGTGCGGAGTATTCGCTGAAATAATGATAACAGGTTTCTTTCGCAACTTACAGGGAGCAATGGGCATGAGATCCGGCTAATTCAAAGACTCAGTCGGTTGACATGAACTAAAACCGGAAAACCACTGCTTGTCACCTGTGGCCTTGGGTGGTTGTGTAAATGGCCGGAGTCATAACGAGATAAAGTGAAGGTGGAGATGCGATAATCCGAGTTGGGAGAGCATGGCAAGTTTAGTCTCAAAAATATGATGCAATCTGAGAACAAGCAGACTCACTGGTTGCACTGTTGTAGGAAAGTTAAATGCTGGGGTTAGGTTGGATTGAGGACACAAATGTGATTGGATTCGAACGAGAAGAACAACAGGTTGGAATGAATGTCGTGGTGATGGTTGGGGTCAATGAATCCCAGAGGCAAGTGGGCTCGTTTGGGAGGAGGAATGCAACAGGTGCGGGTGTGCTATCAGGATGAATATGGCAGTGCCGTGCCATCACTGGCCTGAGGTGCTTCAGATTTTGGACAGCCTCGTGATGGACGTCGCATTTGAGGTCATTCGGCTGGGGAGTAGTGCCCATTGGGCAGCGGTATATATTTCAGCCTGGTCAGGGGGGACAAGGTGGATCGAGGCCGATGTGGGATTGTAGGGACATCTGTGGACGATCCCCTTTCCCAGATATGCATAACTAGCTTTTAGATAATACAGTGTTACCAGAATGCTGTGGGCGCCTTTCCTGTTATAACTATGACGTTCTATAGGTGGTGACCACCAACCATGAAGCGGTCACCACGATGACGGTAGCCGTTGTCACTCACCTCGACTACCTATTATAGCTGCTGGATCCGTGTCTATGTGCGACGATCATTAAGGTTCCCCACATATGCACGGCAGCCCAATTCAATGAGCAACGACGGCCCCTTGTACTCGTATCTCCATTAGTTGTCACTCACTCGAACGCCTGTTGTGACTGCTAGGCCCGCGTTTATGTGCAACGTCGATAATGAGACTGCACCTATGCACAATAACATAATCCGATGGTCAATGACGATCTTGTATACCGTTAACTATACGCGACCTCGCTTGTCTTCGCTAGCTACAATAAACATCAGTGCAATATATATGCCGACCGCTGAAAATAAGGAATCAGCTATGCGTGATAGCCACATCATGTGAAGGAGAAAGAAGGGAGGCGTCAGCAGTAGCCTGTTTTCGCTTACCCGCCCTGCTTGCTGCATACAGCGGGGCGGGTAAGCGAAAACAGGCTACTGCTGACGCCTCCCTTCTTTCTCCTTCACATGATGTGGCTATCACGCATAGCTGATTCCTTATTTTCAGCGGTCGGCATATATATTGCACTGATGTTTATTGTAGCTAGCGAAGACAAGCGAGGTCGCGTATAGTTAACGGTATACAAGATCGTCATTGACCATCGGATTATGTTATTGTGCATAGGTGCAGTCTCATTATCGACGTTGCACATAAACGCGGGCCTAGCAGTCACAACAGGCGTTC